CAGCAACCAGCAACCAACAGCCAGCAACAAGCAGACAGCAGCCAGCAGCCAACAACCAGCAACCAACCACCAACAACCAGCAGCCAGCAACAAGCAGACAGCAGCCAGCAGCCAACAACCAGCAACCAACCACCAACAGCCAACAGCCAGCAACAAGCAGACAGCAGCCAGCAGCCAACAACCAGCAAGCAAACAGCAACAGCCAACAACAAGCAGCCAGCAACCAACAGCCACCAACCAACAACCAACAGCCAACAGCAAGCAACCAACAACCAACAACCAGCAACCAGCAGCCAGCAACCAGCAACCAACAACCAACAACCAACAGCCAGCAACAAGCAGTCAACAGCCAGCAACCAGCAACCAGCAACCAACAAGCAACAACCAGCAACAAGCAGCCAGCAACCAACAGCCAACAGCCAACAGCAAGCAACAAGCAGCCAACAGCCAGCAACCAACAGCCAGCAAGCAGCAACCAACAACCAACAAGCAAAACCAGCAGCAAGCAACCAACAAGCAGCAACAAGCAACCAGCAACCAACAACCAACAGCCAGCAACAAGCAGACAGCAGCCAGCAGCCAACAACCAGCAACCAACCACCAACAACCAGCAGCCAGCAACAAGCAGACAGCAGCCAGCAGCCAACAACCAGCAACCAACCACCAACAACCAGCAGCCAGTCACAAGCAGACAGCAGCCAGCAGCCAACAACCAGCAACCAACCACCAACAACCAGCAGCCAGCAACAAGCAGACAGCAGCCAGCAGCCAACAACCAGCAACCAGCCACCAACAGCCAACAGCAAGCAACAAGCAGCCGGCAGCCAGCAGCCAACAACCAGCAAGCAAGCAACAACAACCAACAACAAGCAGCCAGCAACCAACAGCCACCAACCAACAACCAACAGCCAGCAGCAAGCAACCAACAACCAACAACCAGCAGCCAGCAGCCAGCAACCAGCAGCCAACAGCCAACAGCAAGCAACAAGCAACCAACAGCCAGCAACCAACAGCCAGCAACCAGCAACCAACAACCAACTACCAAAACCAGCAGCAAGCAACCAACAAGCAGCAACAAGCAGCCAGCAACCAACAACCAACAGCCAGCAACAAGCAGACAGCAGCCAGCAGCCAAACAACCAGCAGCCAGCAGCAGGCAGACAGCAGCCAGCAGCCAGCAGCCAACAACCAGCAACCAACCGCCACCAACCAACAGCCAGCAACAAGCAGACAGCAGCCAGCAGCCAACAACCAGCAAACAAGCAACAGCAGCCAACAACAAGCTTCCGGCAGCCAACAGCCACCAACCAACAACCAATAGCCAACAGCAAGCAACCAACAACCAACAACCAGCAACCAGCTGCCAGCAACCAGCAACCAACAACCAACAACCAACAGCCAGCAACAAGCAGCCAGCAACCACCAACCAACAACCAGCAACCAACAAGCAACAACCAACAACAAGCAGCCAGCAACCAACAGCCAACAGCCAACAGCAAGCAACAAGCAACCAACAGCCAGCAACCAGCAGCCAGCAACCAGCAACCAACAACCAACAAGCAAAGCCAGCACCAAACAACCAACAAGCAGCAACAAACAACCAGAAGCCAACAGCCAACAGCCAGCAACAAGCAGACAGCAGCCAGCAGCCAACAACCAGCAACCAACCACCAACAACCAGCAGCCAGCAACAAGCAGACAGCAGCCAGCAGCCAACAACCAGCAACCAACCACCAACAACCAGCAGCCAGCAAGACAGCAGCCAGCAGCCAACAACCAGCAACCAACCACCAACAACCAGCAGCCAGCAACAAGCAGACAGCAGCCAGCAGCCAACAACCAGCAAGCAAACAGCAACAGCCAACAACAAGCAGCCAGCAACCAACAGCCACCAACCAACAACCAACAGCCAACAGCCAGCAAACAAGCAACAACAACCAACAACAAGCAGCCAGCAATCAACAGCCACCAAGCAACAACCAACAGCTAACAGCAAGCAACCAACAGCCAACAACCAGCAACCAGCAGCCAGCAGCCAGCAGCCAGCAGCCAACAGCAAGCAACAGGCAACCAACAGCCAGCAGCCAGCAGCCAGCAACCAGCAACCAACAACCAACAACCAAAACCAGCAGCAAACAGCCAGCAAGCAGCAACAAGCAACCAGCAACCAACAACCAACAGCCAGCAACAAGCAGACAGCAGCCAGCAGCCAGCAACCAGCAACCAACCACCAACAACCAGCAGCCAGCAACAAGCAGACAGCAGCCAGAAGCCAACAACCAGCAACCAACCGCCAACAACCAGCAGCCAGCAACAAGCAGACAGCAGCCAGCAGCCAACAACCAGCAAGCAAACAACAACAACCAGCAACAAGCAGCCAGCAACCAACAGCCACCAACCAGCAACCAACAGCCAACAGCAAGCAACCAACAACCAACAGCCAGCAACCAGCAGCCAGCAACCAGCAACCAACAACCAGCAACCAACCGCCAGCAACAAGCAGCCAGCAACCAGCAACCAACAACCAGCAACCAACAAGCAACAACCAACAACAAGCAGCCAGCAACCAACAGCCAACAGCCAACAGCCAACAGCAAGCAACAAGCAACCAACAGCCAGCAACCAGCAGCCAGCAACCAGCAACCAACAACCAACAAGCAAAACCAGCAGCAAGCAACCAACAAGCAGCAACAAGCAACCAGCAACCAACAACCAACAGCCAGCAACAAGCAGACAGCAGCCAGCAGCCAACAACCAGCAACCAGCAACCAACAACCAGCAGCCAGCAACAAGCAGACAGCAGCCAGCAACCAACAACCAGCAACCAACCACCAACAACCAGCAGCCAGCAACAAGCAGACAGCAGCCAGCAGCCAACAACCAGCAACCAACCACCAACAGCCAGCACAACAAGCAGACAGCAGCCAGCGGCCAACAGCCAGCAACCAACCACCAACAACCAACAGCCAGCAACAAGCAGACAGCAGCCAGCAGCCAACAACCAGCAAACAAACAGCAACAACAACCAACAACAAGCAGCCAGCAACCAACAGCCACCAACCAGCAACCAACAGCCAACAGCAAGCAACCAAGAACCAACAACCAGCAACCAGCAGCCAGCAACCAACAGCCAAGAGCCAACAGCAAGCAACAAGCAACCAACAGCCAGCAACCAACAGCCAGCAACCAGCAACCAACAACCAGCAACCAAAGCCAGCAGCAAACAACCAACAAGCAGCAACAAGCAACCAGCAACCAACAACCAACAGCCAGCAACAAGCAGACAGCAGCCAGTAGCCAACAACCAGCAACCAACCACCAGCAACCAGCAGCCAGCAACAAGCAGACAGCAGCCAGCAGCCAACAACCAGCAACCAGCAGCCAGCAACCAACAGCCAACAGCCAACAGCAAGCAACAAGCAACCAACAGCCAGCAACCAACAGCCAGCAACCAGCAACCAACAACCAACAACCAAAACCAGCAAGCAACCAACAAGCAGCAACAAGCAGCCAGCAACCAACAACCAACAGCCAGCAACAAGCAGACAGCAGCAAGCAGCCAACAACCAGCAACCAACCACCAACAACCAGCAGCCAGCAACAAGCAGACAGCAGCCAGCAGCCAACAACCAGCAACCAACCACCAACAGCCAACAGCCAGCAACAAGCAGACAGCAGCCAGCAGCCAACAACCAGCAAACAAACAACAACAACCAACAACAAGCAGCCAGCAACCAACAGCCACCAACCAACAACCAACAGCCAACAGCAAGCAACCAACAACCAACAACCAGCAACCAGCAGCCAGCAACCAGCAACCAACAACCAACAACCAACAGCCAGCAACAAGCAGCCAACAGCCAGCAACCAGCAACCAACAAGCAACAACCAGCAACAAGCAGCCAGCAACCAACAGCCAACAGCCAACAGCAAGCAACAAGCAACCAACAGCCAGCAACCAGCAGCCAGCAACCAGCAACCAACAACCAACAAGCAAAAACCAACAAGCAGCAACAACAAGCAGCAACAGCAGCAACCAGCAACCAACAACCAAGCAGCCAGCAACAAGCAGACAGCAGCCAGCAGCCAACAACCAGCAACCAACCACCAACAACCAGCAGCCAGCAACAAGCAGACAGCAGCCAGCAGCCAACAACCAGCAACCAACCACAAACAACCATCAGCCAGCAACAAGCAGACAGCAGCCAGCAGCCAACAACCAGCAACCAACCACCAACAACCAACAGCCAGCAACAAGCAGACAGCAGCCAGCAGCCAACAACCAGCAAACAAGCAACAACAACCAACAACAAGCAGCCAGCAACCAACAGCCACCAACCAACAACCAACAGCCAACAGCAAGCAACCAACAACCAACAGCCAGCAACCAGCAGCCAGCAACCAACAGCCAACAGCAAGCAACAAGCAACCAACAGCCAGCAACCAACAGCCAGCAACCAGCAACCAGCAACCAACAACCAAAACCAGCAGCAAACAGCCAACAAGCAGCAACAAGCAACCAGCAACCAACAACCAACAGCCAGCAACAAGCAGACAGCAGCCAGCAGCCAACAACCAGCAACCAACCACCAACAACCAGCAGACAGCAGCCAGCAGCTAACAACCAGCAACCAACCACCAACAACCAACAGCCAGCAACAAGCAGACATCAGCCAGCAGTTAACAACCAGCAAGCAAGCAACAACAACCAACAACAGGCAGCCAGCAACCAACAGCCACCAACCAACAACCAACAGCCAACAGCAAACAACCAACAACCAGCAACTAGCAACCAACAGCCAGCAACCAACACCCAACAACCAGCAACCAGCAACCGGCAACCAACAACCAACAGCCAGCAACCAGCAACCAATGGCTAGAGAGGGGGAAGACAGAGAGATGGTCGGCGGGCGGCTGCGTTCTCAAATGGCTTGCCGCGCCGCAGCTTTTTTGAGTGGTGCTCGAGCTCTTGCCTTTTCTTGCCTTTAGGGACCATGCGCATGTCTGTGTGGTTTGCCTTGGCGGTGATGTGGTTGGCTTTCGGGGTCAAGGAGGAAGGGAGGGATGAGGATGTTGCCCCCACATCGGATGAGTACGACGACCTTGATCTGCAGATGGGTCTATTCGCAGCCCTCGGCGAGTGCAGCTCGTCCGACGAAGCAGAGCCCCTGCCAATCCAACCGCCGCTGCAAGCGGTGGACCCTTTGGATTTGGCCTTGAACGCCTTGGGTGTTCCAAACTTGTTTCAAGAGTGCGCCCCCAATGACTGGGCAAGGGCGGCGAAAAAGGCCTTTAAGCAGGCGTCCTTGCTAGGGTGGCGACCCGGCGGACTTTGCAAATCTGCAAAGAAGCTACGAGATGCTGGCCGAGCACATCGCTGCGTGGAAGCGAGTGGCTGATTTGGTGAAGTGCCAAATCACGTGCCACTGCTCTGAGTGCTTGCGGTTTTTCATGAAACTCACCAAGTGCCGGCTTTGTCTTGGCCTTGGCAGCAAGAACGGGCACTCCGGCTGTGGCTTGAGCCAGGTTTCCAGTTACTTTCGCCGGTACCATGTTGAGAAGCCCTTGGCCTTGGGCCGGTACTATGAACTCCTAGCCCACGGCAAGGGCGAGGAGGAGGAGGCAAAGCGAATCCTGAAGGCCGAAGAGGCACGGTTGGCTGCGGAAGCCAAAGAGATGGTTAGACTTGAAGCGCACAAGCGCAAACATTTGGAAGAGGAGAGGGACATCGTTTTCCAGCAGGAGCTGGTTAAGGCCATCGACGAGTCCAAGAAGAGCATTCGCGACAAATGGGCTGCCCAGAACCCTACCATCCCTGTGCCTTCACCCATTGGGATTGGGTCTTTAGCCGATGTAGTGACCTCGGGCGGCGCTTTGGGCAGCGGGGCCAGCCCGCGGTTGCCGCGCGGGGCGGCCTCCCATCTGGCCGAACCTGGGCTGCCGCACCTTGGACACGTGCTGTAATCCGAGGGCAGCGCAGGCGGGCAGGGAGGGACCTGAGCCAGCTCCTCAGCCGTGGGCGGCGCCCTGAAGGTGGATGGGCAGCCGGGGGCGAAGACAGAGCCGTCTGCACCACTTGCAAGTGGTACCGGTGCCACCGATTCCGGCATGCACCTTTGCCGTATTCCGAGAGTGAGGTTCTGGCAAGGCCATTTCTTTTGGCATGATTCTGTGAGGCATGCTGAGCCCGATGAATGAAGATGTGGTTCGCGAAGTACAGTCAAAGAGTTCTAACCCTTTTGAATGCGTCTGGGCAGGAGTTGACCACCTGAGTCTTTTGGGCAAGTCGCATTCACATGCAACTCAGCTAATCATAACTCGTGTCGGGTTGCTTTTTTGTCAGATTTTTTTTTGCAAAGCTCTGAGGTTGTTTCTGGAACGAATTGGCTTTCCCTTTAGCTCAAGGCCAGCCCCGATGGCAATTTTATCAAGGCTGGCTTCAATATCAATGCCGATGGCCGTTTTATCAAGGCCGATGGCCGTTTTATCACGCCAATGTAAAGGAGGATGGAGCCGTTCTGGGCCTTGTAAGGCATAGGGTTTGAGTTTAGAGGCCACCTGTCGGTGGCGGGCTGCCGTTCGGGCACCACGCCCGGGCCGCGGCTCATCGCGCGTTGAGGCCCGCGGCCTCGCACACCTCGCGGCGGCTCGCTCGGCCGCCCCTCGAAGGCGTCCTCGGTAGCGCTCGTCGCTGGCTACCGCAGCTCCTGCTCCTCGCTTTGTTTAGGGTTTAGGGTGTCTACAGCGGGGGCGCCTGGGCCCTCCCCTGAAAGGGTCGAGGGCCCAACTGCGCCGTGCGGAATGAGGCCCGCCCCTACCACCCAAAATTGCACCCTTTTAGGGTCGAAGCCGATTTTTGCAATCAAGTTTTCGCACTGCTTCTCCACTGGCCCGGAAGGTGCTTTGGAGGCGTCGCCCAGAATCTGGGCAACCAGAAAAAACAAGTCCAAGGGAGAACCTCAACGAGACAACTTGAAGTATATCTTATAAGATTCTTGAGAACCCATAAGGTAATACTTGGATTCCAGCTAGAAGCCTCCGAGCTAAAGGCAAGCTGCTGCTTAGATTGAAAAGGATCCTTGGAAAACGCTTTTTCCAGCCTTGAGCCACAGACGGGCACTTCCAGATGATCCCACACAAGCAATTTATCAGCGGCCGGGCACGGTTGCCAGTTCCATATGGCCCCATACCTTTAATGCAAAGAATTTGCCATTTGGAAACGTTTTGGGGCCGGTCCTAAAAATTCGTTCTGAATTTTAGTCTTGTGTAACGATGCTTCGATAAGGAGTTTATCAGCGGCCAAGCCGGGCCATTTTTTTGAGGTGGAGCATAGTCGCCGTTTTATCAAGGCCGGCCAGACCAAAGCGAATGGCCGTTCTATCAAGGCCAGCCAGCCTCAGTGGCCGTTTTATTTGCATTGGGCCGCAATAGCCGGAAGCGGCGAAATTGCCAAATCTGTGGTGCTGTGTGCGTGCGGAGTTTACCAGCGGCTAGGCCGAGCTATTTTTATCAAGGGCTGGCAAAGCCAGCGGCCGTCCGAGGCGGGCGCGCGCGTGGAGCTGCTGAACGCAGCGCGGCAAGCGACAGGCTTGGCTCAAACCGAATTGCCTTAAACTTTAACATTTCCAGAGCGTCGGAGTCCTCCCAATGGCCGTTTTTGATAAACATGGCCACTTTCTGGCTGTCAAGGTAAAACAGCTATCGGGCCGCTTTTTGCCAGCTTACATCTGCGCCGGCCTTGATAAAACGGCCATTGGGCTTGCTTCTGCTGAAAATGGCTTGGCCCGGCCGCTGATAAACTGATTGCGCGGGAGGATATGGAACTTGCAATCCGCGGCTCAAATCTGGTGTCTGGCTATCCGGTCGCTGCTCTTGATAAAACGGCCATTGGGCCTCGCGTTGATAAAACGGCCATTGTGTCGCTGAAATCTGGAGGTCTGGCCATCCGGTTGCTTCTGCCGTGATAAAACGGCTATGGGCCTCGCGTTGATAAAACGGCCATTGGGCTTGCTTTTGCTGAGAATAGCTTTGCCGGGCCGCTGATAAATTGATCGTGCGGGATACGTCGAAATCTGGAGGTCTGGCCATCCGGTTGCTTCTGCCTTAATAGAACGGCCATTAGGCCTCGCGTTGATAAAACGGCCATTGGGCCTGCTTTTGCTGAGAATAGCTTGGCCCGGCCGCTGATAAACTGATCGTGCGGGATAATGACGAAAATGCAATTTGTCGCTGAAATCTGGAGGTCGCGTTGATAAAACAGCCATTGGGCTTGCTTTTGCTGAGAATAGCTTGGCCGGGCCGCTGATAAATTGATCGTGCGGGATATTAGCGAAAATGCAATTTGTCGATGAAATCTGGAGGTCTGGCCATCCGGTTGCTTCTGCCTTGATAAAACGGCCATTGGGCCTCGCGTTGATAAAACGGCCATTGGGCCTGCTTTTGTTGAGAATAGCTTGGCCCGCCCGCTGATAAATTGATTGCGCGGGATAATACAGAAATTGCAATTTGTCGGTGAAATCTGGAGGTCTGGCCATCCGGTTGCTGCTAAAACGGCCGTTGGGCCTTGCGAGTAGATGTTTTGCTAACAATGGCCAACTGACCAAAGCCAACCAAATTATTAAGCCAAGTAGCAGCAATGGCTTGTTTTATCAACCGGAAGCCGGCCCAGCAAAAATGGATAGTTCAAAGGCTGCAATTGCAATCGCTAGCTAAAGCGGCCAAATGCAGGACTAAGGGCTGCGCAATGACAAATGAATCTTCTGGACAAAAGCACAAAGACTGTTTTCTCAAGGCAAGCTGCTGTTCTACTTGGCCTCTGTCTCGGAAAGCCAGTAAGGAACCTTATTGCAAGGCTAGGCCAGCTTCAATGGCTATTTTATCAAGGCAGCAGCAGCTAAATGGCCAGACCTCCAGATTTGAGCCGCGGATGGCCAACTCCACATGATCCCGCACAAGCACTTTATCAGCCGGGACAAGACATGTTGTGCCACAAGTGGTCCGGCGGCCGTTTTATCAAGGCCAGCTCCAGCGGCCACTTATATCAAGGCCAGCTCCAATAGCGAATGCTCAAGATGTGCCCCTGAGACGGGCAATTTCCGAACCTGTGTTGTCGATCTAGGGTGTGTCTTATAAGGTTTCTTGAGGATGCCCGTAAGGCAGTGCTTGGGTTCCAGCTAGAAGCCTCCAAGCTAAAGACTTGTCGGCCGCCGTCGGCCGCAAAAGGATGAAATGCAGACGCGCCCTATGCGCCCAAATCTAAACGTTTGTTTCGCAATTTTGCCGGTTCTGGTTGATAAAACGGCATGTGCGGCCATCCTTGCCTTGAATAAAGCGGCCATTGTTGATAGAACGGCAATTGAAGGAACTTCACCACGGTCGGGGACGTGGCAGGCGAAACTGTTTCACAATCAAGCCTGTCAAAGCAACTTTGGCAGGCCCAAACCTGGAGCCATCAATGCTCCAACTCCACAGATTTAACGCGGCTACTTTCCTTCTTTGCAGGGACGAGGCGGCTTGGTCCTTTTATGAAGGCCCAAAAAATTGTGAAAAAATCAAAGGACACTTGGCAGCCTGTTGCCTGTTGCCTTTGAACAGGGACAGCAGCCGACAATGACAGCCATTTTCTTCACAGCCTTCGCCTGATAATGGAAACCTTGTTTCTGCAAAGCCGGGCCGGAGAAAAGCTTTGACATGTGACATGTGAGCTCATGTAGAAACTGACAACGTGACCTCAACTCTGACCCGCATTCAGTGAGACAGCCATCTGCTCAGAAATCGTCACCTGGCACGGGGCGCATGAAGTCTGACCAAACTCGCATTACGAAGTGCAGCAATGAGGAAAACTCCAAATGCCAAGCCAAGTCATCCGCTCCATTTTTTCAACCACCACCAACTCCAATCGGGCAATGAGCACTAGCTGCACTGCCATGCCAGCCACGTATCTGAGGTTTCCGAAATGGAACGATCCGAGATGTTTTTGCTACGTCGTGATGTGAAATGTGTGTGTGTGTGTGTCTCAAGGTCATGTCTCAAGTTTTTGCCCGGTGCGTTCTTTCGGCAACCCTTTCACCTTTCACATTGCTTTCAATGCGGCCCCTCGTGGCAGGCACAGCAAGCAAACGTGCCTCAGCCAACTTTGAGAAAACTCTTTGCTGGCAGCTCTTTCACACACTTGGTGAACGCCAGCCACAAAACAGCATTGTTGCTGGGCCGAAGGTGATCTCCCCCAGCCGCTGCCTCCTGTGCCTCGGTTGCCATCGCCGCCGTCACGCCGGCAGCACAAATCCCGCCACAGCCAACGACGAGACCGGAGTCGGGACGCTCTCAGCCGCCAGCTTCGGCAGGAGCACCATGCCGGCCTGGCAAAAAGTTGCATTGCTTACTATTACTTGAGGGCTCAAAAAGTTGCCAAACCAATCTCCTCCAAAAAGCTCAACGCCAAAGCCACATCAACATGTTACTATATAAAGGTCAAGGCGCTGAGTCCTTCGTGAGCGGCATCTCCGGCGCAGTGGCCATGCTGCACATGGGGGCGAGAGTGCTGGCACTCCTGGCGGCTGCCACCACCGTGCGATGATTCCACAGCAGAAAGTCTGGCCGCAGGGTGGCGCTCACGTTGATGCCAAGGTCTTTGAAGATCTGCATCAACGTCTTGCAGCGGAAGCCTGACGCGCCGGGCTTCTCAAACGCCACCTTGCAGGTTGAAGCCGCTGCAGCGGTGACCTCCCACTTCCTCAGTTGCCCAAAGCCCAAAAGGAGCCATGATTGGGTAACCTTTTTGGGGCCATGCGACAGTGATGTGATTGGAGGCCAAAGGGACAACAAAAGGTTAAAGGTTGACTTCGTGCAAGCGAGCTTCAGGGCGCGATGGCCTTCCACGCTTGGCGAGCCTCCCTCGAGCTTCATGCAGCCGAACCCAAAGAGCTCAGCACCCGCCTCGATCTTGATCACCTTGTCAGTCACAC